CTTTTAAGTATGGTACATTAAATAAATATATTTTATATGGTATATATTCAAATTTTAGATGATATTTAAATAGGTATATTAAACGATAATATGAATATCTACTAAATGAAGTTTCCTAACCATATGATTTTTATGATCATTGTGTATCTTATTATAACAATAACTTAAAACCATCGTGAGATTTATAAAAAAACAGTGCGGCCTTTTTAAAAGTTTTAGTAATTTATACTCATTTTTAATTCAAAATATAACATATGCAAAAAGTGTAAAATTTTATATATGATTAATGTGCTTATTTAAATTATTTTAATAATATAAATTAAACAAAATGATATAGGATATACAAATTGTTAGCAAAACTTTATTATTCAAAATCATTAGTTTTCATATAATCACATTAGGTAATTCATTAGTTTTAATAAGGAAAGTAAAAATATTTTTACATATTATTAATTATATTTTTAGTTTAGTGAGAAGTATAGTATATGTTGTTTAAATAAGAGATGGTGAGGGTGATCGAGTAGGGTTTTGATGCTTTTTTGAGATGGGGGTTATGGAAATCTAAAGATCAAAATGGAGAGACATCAAATTGGATAGCCAGAATCTCCTCAGAAACGATGGGTTTGGCAAAGCATTGATCTGATTCAAGATGGTTTTTAGGTTAAGAAGATTGATTTGGATCTCAGGGCTTATGGAAAGAAGGGAATCTCCGGATTTGTTTTTTGCGAATATTTTCTTGCTTTCATATTATCAAATCTCTGGATCTTTAAGGAAACAAAAATGGTGGTGTGGGTGCTCGCAAAAAAATTGAAGATTACGGTATGCTAGAACCTTGATAGACAGATGTATGAACTCCAGTGAGCAAGATGTGAAGGCTCTAGTCATTATGTTGCCAAAGATTTGGAAGGTGAAGGGTAAAGTTGTTGGCAGTGATCTCGGACTTCGGAGATTCCAGTTTGATTTTGAGGAGGAAGAGGATCAGAAGAGGTTCTGAAAATGCAACCTTACCATTTCGATTATTGGATTATCTCACTAGTGAGGTGGCAACCGATGATGAACAGAAACTATCCCTCAGAGATTACTTCTTAGGCCTAAGTTCTGGGGGTTCCTCTTCCATTCTAGGGATTCAAACTTTTGAAAGTATAGGAGATGCTCTTGGTACAGTAAAGGAGGTGGATATAGATTATGGGCATATTCAGGTGGTGATAGATGGTTTCCATAACTTGTGCTTTGAAACAACCATAGACTTCAGTGGAGGTGAATTCCATGGTGGAGAGGAAGCCCCCAATCTCATTGAAGTACGAGAAGCTATTTGGTTACTGTAAGACCTGTCTTAGTCGTGGCCATGACTTAGACAACTGTCCTTTTAAGTGTGGAAAGCCAGAGGAAGAAAAGAGAGGTTAAAAGAGAGGTTAAGGATGTTACTTTGGAAAGACATTGAGAACGTTCAGCCAGTTATAAGGGAGTGGTTAGGTATAACAACTTAATTCTCTAAAAACTGTAAGAATCAATCTAATGATGACATATATCATAGTTCACATGTATAATGCTTATTAAATAATATATAAGGGATGTAAACAAGTGAAGTTGTGCATATGTACACATGTAAACATGTATACAAGCGAAGCTTTACACATGTTCACATGTATGATCAATTGCAAATCTTTATTATAATGTCTATCTAGTATTTTTAAGAGTAAATTACTCTATTACAACTTCTAATTGTAAATTTGACAAACTTTTTACGAACCATTTTTATGGGTGACCAAAACATCTAAAATTCTTGAAAAAATTAAAACTATATATGTCATATTACTTATAAATAAAAAAAATTGTGTTTACATTTGTAGCTCTAAAAGTTACTTATAAAAAATTACTTATAAATAAAATTTTAAAACTATGTCATATTACTTATAAATAAAAAAAATTGTGTTTACATTTGCCAGTGCCAGTGGAGCCCGCAAATAGTTGAAGCAACAACAAAAACCGAACGCTTATTTAACATCTACAGGCGTCGGGGCTTGGTGTTTTGGTGGGGCCCTAATGCCTAAGCACCTCCATTTCTCACGTGATAATACTGCTCTAAGATGCAAAAAGTTGGACAAAACTAGTTAAATCTGTGAAATTCGAATGCCGTGCCAGTTCCGAGACGAGACGACGACAGCAGAGAGGATCAAATGGAGGACAACGTGGATTGGAGCTTCAAGATAAGGCATGATGTTGGTGGATCGAGCTCACAACAGCTTGATGGAGATTAGTTCAACGACATGAAACGCCATTTGTTTAGAGATGAAGCACCACATGTTGGTCCGAGTGAGAAGAAGACTGCTGCGGAAATAGGCTGTTCCGGTGTTACTTGTTGGAGAAGAATACAAGTTACAGTCTTTACTGGAGATGATGAGTTATGATGGATGAGAAAGAAAAGAAACCTAAAATCAACAAATAAACTTTTTGAAATTCTAAACAAAAGAGAAAAAAGAAAATTAGAATCTTGTTATGTGCTCTCATATGGAACTTTTAGAAGAGCATTTGTAGATAAAATATATACAACTTTAAAATAATTATATATAATTTATTTATTTTTTTAATAATATACAAATATTTTTTAATAAAAAATAAAATTTTATAATAAAAATAATATTTTTTTTAACTTTTTTAAAAAGAAAAATATTTGACATTTAAAATATAATATAATTTATATAATTACACATATCCTTCATTTTTTTAATAACAAACATAACATAATATATATATATATATATATAATATAAATATATGTATATAACACAACTGGCACATTCCAAAATAATTGTTACTCGAACATCTTTACCTTTGGCCATGAAACCTCCTTTGGATTTATGATTCACCTCCAATCTTCTATTTTCATTTTAGGATCCATAAAAAGTTTTTCCTTCTAATTGAATGTCCTATTCCCCTACCCTATATATATATATATATATATATATATATATATATATATATATTTAGAAACTAATAAATAAATTATGTAACATATATTCATTTATATGCTAATTTAATATTTTAGAAATAATTTTTACAGTTTTAAATAATAATATTTCATATATAAACTATAGTATAATTTATATAATGAATAAAATTAATTATTTTAATAACAAATACATTAATAATATATATTATAAATATTTAAATATTATTCAAAAATAATTTATCATTATATCTCTATAATATTATTTGAGAAGTCAGTTTCCTACATGTCGCGCTCACGTCAACTCTCCAATGGTTGATTACATAGATACCCTTAATGAATTGTTAGATTTTAAGATTATTATTAAGTTTTTTTATTTAGTTTATTTTATTTACCTTTTTACAAATAACATATCTAATATAAAGGAAATATTTCTAAAATTTTAAAACAAAATATATGTATATAATATGACTTTATTAAAAAAGGAAAGTTCACAAAATAGTAATACCCCATTAATATATATTTTTAAATAACATAAAATATATTTTCAAAATAATTAAAAAAAATAAAAATATATATATATATGTATGTTCAGGAACATCCAAAAATTTATCAGTTACACTTTAGTTTTTACTATTTTTTAGAAATCAACATATAGTTTGATAAATATTATGAAAATACATGTACATTTAAGCGATAAATAAAATTAATTTGATTTGACTTAACTAAAATAAAGAGTAAATAAATATTATGAAAATACATGTATATTTAAGCGATAAATAAAACTAATTTGATCTGACTTAACTAAAATAAAAAGTACTTATACTTCAATTTTAATTTAAAAATATATTTAACTCAATATACTCACAAAATGAATGACTCGACTAATTTAATTTATGTCAAAAATTAAACATTTAACTACAATAAGAACATATAATTTTATAATAAAAAATAATAATCTATTTAATTTTATACATATAAATTAGAGGTTGACTCAAAGCATATTTAAAAAAGAAAAATATTAACCAATTTACAATTTAATTCTTTTGTAGAATTTATATATATGCATGAGACTTCAAAATATTATCATTAAGTTCATTTATGTAATTTTGAATCAAACACTTCAGCTTATTATTTATTTCATTTTAAGTATAATATATATTAAGTTATATACAATCTAACTATAATATATTTACATATCTAAGAATATATTTACATATCTAAGACAATAACCAACCGAAATGAAAATAATAAAATTAATCAAAGTTTTATTATATTTAGAATAAAAAATATTATAGCTGAATTCGAGAAATAGATGTTACCTAATATACCAAATTGATAACCAAACCGATTTTGATCCAAAAATAATTCAACTGACAATAATATATTCAAAGTTATATGTATAATTAGAATAATATAATATTTATTAATATAAATTATGTATATAAATTGATTCAAAACTAAAACTTAAACTAAATATCAATTAATTATTATAAAATTTTAGTTTTATTAATATTCATATCCGTGCATGAGCACGGGAAAATCACCTAGTTAACTATTATGATGATTACTTTTATTACTATCATTTTATTAAAAACTTTAATAAAAGCTTATAGTTTCTACAACGTATGTCTTTACAACATAGTGTTACTACTTTATCATAGAGGCCTTATCATTCTATCTTTTAATAAACATTTGCGCTACTACTTTATCATAGAGGCCTTATCATTCTATCTTTTAATAAACATTTGCTTTGTATTTAGATCAAAGTCTCCTGAAATTAAAGAGTAGACTGTCGTAGATGTGTCCGATTCAATATTTATAGATTATAGAGAACGATTAAGATTTCTGGATTAAATAATGAAACTTAATTATTTAGCATAGTTATGAAGACAACCCAAACATGAAGCCTTTTCAGGTTCTAATTTTTAATACAAAAATAAATCAAAGAGATATAGTGAGTACCCAAAGACGACCCAAACATGAGGCCTTTTCAGGTTCTAATTTTTAACACAAAAATAAATTAACGATGCAGGTAAGCTGATCAAATTGGTCAAGTCGTCCGAAGAGCTTTTGTGTAATATGTGAGTGCCCAAAGACTAAACATGTTTCTGTAAGCTGGGTAATGCAGCAGCAAATTCATCTTGTATGCTCCCCTCATTTCCTATAAAATATTTTAACAAAATATCAAATATAGCCAAAAAAAACTCTGTAGTCTGGAGATAGAATAGCCTGCTTTTAAATCTTAATAACGGTTTTTAGTCCAGAAGTAACATCATAGTGAATCCGAAAATACACTGTTTATTATAATGTCTAAATATTCTGGACGAGTACCCACACTTTCTCTAAGACAAAGTCCAGTCAACACATTCCACTGGGAGAACAATCCACTTTGACTCTAATTAATTTATTTTTTGAAAGTAGATATTATTCCCAACGGAATTGAACCAATAACCCCTTAGATTTCTAGTAGATAATCAAAATGTTTTTTTCCCTTGTTTATTGTGAAATCTCTAATAATTTCATACATATATATGACCCTTTGAATTTGGTTTCTAGTACACTATATTCAAGATATCAAGAACATATGGACAGACCATTTACCTGTTGTGGGAAATCACCATTATCCAACTGTGAATTAATCAACACTTTGGCAGCACGGTGAACAGGCAAAGGGTCTCTCTCCATTTGATCACCCATAATTAGAGCCATCATTGCTTGTCCTGTATTCACCACATTGGTCTTATTTCCATCCAAGGGAATATATTTTTTTCCGGGACAAGAGAGATAACTCTCTCCCCAACCACCTTCAATGTTTTGTGTCCCAAGAATAAACCGAACCGCTCTACGGATCGTCTCACAGTTATGGTAAGTCTTGCCTGCAGCCACCAAACCTCGGACCGCAAAGAAGGTCCCATAAATGAAGCATACACCCCAGTTTCCATACCATGAACCATTAGGCATTTGCAAGCCCTCTATATATTTCACTCCTTTTGTTATAAACCCTTCGATTTCTTCCCTTCTATGGTCGGGAAACTGTTCCATAAATTGCAATAATGCCACTATGGCCGACCCCGTGCATTCTAGAGACCTTAAAAGCGTTGTGTACCATACTTTAAATTAGTTTAAAAGAAAACGCAAGATTTGTTAACTAGTAAAAATAAAAACAAAAAGGATGTCATGAAGATTGTATACTCATGTTCGACGATTGTCTCCTCAACAAACTCCACAGGATTAAGCCACTGCATTTTAGTTTTAGGCATTGTTACACTATCCCCATTAGCCTCTTTTAATTTTATCAGAAAAATAAAACTTGAAACATATATTAAATTACAGCAATTAAAAGAAATAAATGGTACCTCTAGCCAGGTTTTCCCAGGCGCTGGCTCCCATATTGCTATACCTCCGTTATTGCTCTGTTTGTATTTTACGCAAACAAATAGTTACTAATTAGTAACTCTTAACATTTTGTTTAAGAGAAATCTAATGGACTAGAAGAAAAAATTGCTAAAACTGACTGAAAACTTGAATTTGAAAGCAAATATATACCCTAAATTCAATCAAATGAAAAAAAAAACCCAAATAGTGATGAAATTACGACTATCGTTTTATGAGAAAACCAAAAACCTGTAAACATTTTTGCGATTGTAATCACCGACAAAGAAATCTTCTCGGAAAGTGATCTCGAGAAGACATCTTGAGAAGACTTTTCGAGAAGTCTAATCATGTATTTATTTATCATAGAGTATTCTTGAACAAATTGTTAGTATTACTTAGTATTGATAACTATTGATTTTTAATATATAAAATCAAACTCTTTGTTGAACTACATTATCAAAAAAAATCTCTTTTTTAGAACTTAGTAAAAAAAACTCAAACAGTTACCCTTAATGAAAAAAAAAAAAATAGCTACCTGCAAAGAGAGAAGTATATTGATGGCATCATAAAGCCTCTCCACATCCATTTTCTCGCCAATGAACTCAGACGGCATGCTTTCAAAGATCAGGCAACACTAGCCACATATTATCATGTTAAAACCTCATATAAGTAAGATGAGACCAAAATGTATTATATAGAATGCATTGAAAGGTATACTGGTTATCAGTTAGCTTTGAATCAAAAGTCCATTAGAAAATAAAAAAAAAATTGTATATCAAGAGTTTAAGACAACACAAACTTTTTTAGACAAAGAAGGAATCCAAAAGAGATAAGACGCACACCTTTAAACTCTCAGAAATACAATCACTAACGGGCCATCCTTGATCTTTGTCTGAAAAACTCCAACCTCCTTTCGATATGTTTCGAAACATTTTGATAAAGTCACCAGGAGGATTCTCTGTAATCTGAGATTTCCTCAAGTAGGAGTATCCCTTTATAAGCGTTGATCTAATCTCATTATTAACATCAGCAGCTAACATCACTTGTAGCAAGAAGGCTGTATCCCATATTTGGCTACCAAAAGTCTACACAAAATATTAACTAAAAGAAAAAATTAGTAATAGTGTGGAGAGTCATCTTGGTTTTGATTTATAATATAGGAGTATGAGTTAGTTAACCTGAATTTTCAGGCCATCCTCGCCAATCCATAAGAAGCCTGGGACTTGAGCCAGATGTTTCTTAAAATAATGACTCTTTGGGTCTTCAACCCAACAGGCAAGCATGTGAAATGGCTAGATGTATCAAAAAGGAACATTTACAACTTGTTACACCTAAAAGAAATGATAGCATTTATAAAATTGTTTACCTTTGGGATAGCACCACCGGTTATGTATTGGGTGGCTTCGTCATGGTAGTGAATGATTTCCATCGTTTTTTGGAGAGCTTTGTGCCTTATGAGCTTGTTGAAAGGCCAAAGGTTGAAGATATTCTCCGAAAACATATGAACAATGTTCCAAAACCAGTCTTGTACAAATGACTGTGGAAAGTAAAGATCTTCCTGCATATCATAATCATCACTTTTATATTGGACATCGAAAGATGCACTTTAGTTTATCACAACATGTATTTATGAAGCCAGTTCTAAAAAAAAAAAAAAACATGTATTTATGGCTTAGGTTACCTTTGCGCATAGATTGCGAGCTTGGCTCCAACATATCTCTTCGTAAGGCTGAGGATAAATCTCTTCACGGACCTGTAGAATGAGTGGTGTAGGTGCGGCTACAAACTTTTTACCATACAAGTATGATAAACCCATGAAAACGTCCCGCAAATAGATCCATACAGTACCTGCACGCATGATTATTTATAGATGAATACATTCTAAACAGCTACGCAGTAAAACTGAAATTGCATACATTTTCTTTTTCTAATTCAATGGTAATCTGTCAATGCCATCATATTATATGCGAGTCAAATTCAAACCTCCATTAATAGGAGAAGAATGCGGAAGGAGCCAGAACTCAGGCGGGATAGGTTTGCAGCCAGACCAATCATAAACTCCAAGAACCTAAGTGTTTTAAGTAGAAATTAATATTAACAAATTAATAATGAGTTACTTTGAAATTAAATATATATAACCAGAGTAGAGAGTCGTAAATACAGAAAGCCAAGCTTTTCCGAGCAGTGGCGTATAGGTAGCCCCACCATGGTCGAGGATCCATTTACGAGCCATTGTACAAGCACTTTTACCATCATGATCTGCTTCTACCTCAAATATTTTTAAGCAAATATAATTAAGGACCGTGCTGAACATAAAACTGTGGCTTTCTACGTGTATTCCCCAGCCACCATTCTCGTTCTAGGTAACAATAATGAAATAATATTTTATGTCACGTAGCGGACATTATTAAATGAAATAATATTGATGTCACCTATTTTTTCTAGATTGTTTACCTTTTAATAGAAGCACAAACAGTGTGAATGCTTTTGATATGAAGTTTAAATCATTTATTATCGTTTAGTGTTTCACAAACAGTTGGAAGAAACTACTTCAGTTTGTCAAAAAAAAAACATAATATTTTGAAAATATAGTTATATTTTGAGGTTATGTGTAAATTGAATCTCTAACACGTATGCCATAGTCTCTCTCACGAGAAATTGTCTATGCTCTCACTTCTCTTCTTCTATTCTTCTTTTCTTTATTACCGAAAAATCCTAAGATATATACTGACAATGATGATCTTATGTTCTCGTTAGATTATCGAGCATTTTAGAAGCCAGATAAGCTATATGATCAAACAACATATGTTATTAATCAAGTACCTGATGGTTGTACATGTAACGTAACAACTCTTTTCGATGTTCTTCAGAGAAGATTTTATCCAGATGGCCCGTGACATATAAGCATATAACCTGATATATTTTGAACTATTGATTTCTTTTTCTTCTCACGTAGCCTTTTTAATTATGACTAGATTTTGACCCGCGCAACCGCGCGGGTGTTTTTTTCGTTTATAGTTAGTTATATAAACATTTTGTTTTCACTTGTAAATTGGTATATATTATAGTAATCACATATTTACGATATGTATAGTAAATATTTTTCAAACATAAAATATTATATAATAAGTTTTTTAATCAAATAAATTGTTTCAAATTTTCTATATTATACATGTTTTTCAAACATGTGTTTGTTTCTTCTTCTATATTTTATTGTTTGTTAGATTAGTATTTCCTTTTTAGATAAAGTAATATAAATAGAGCTTGATTAAATAGATTGTTTCAATTTTTCTAAATATTATACATGTTTTTCAAATATGTGTTTGTTTCTTCTTCTATATTTAATTTTTTGTTATATTAGTATTTCATTTTAGATAAATTAATATAAATAGAGCTTGATTAAATATTAGTATACTTTAATTTAAAAAGATAATATAAACTCTTTTTTCTAAACTAAACTTATAGCTTCATTAATTAATATTATAAAGAATTTTATTTTAAAAAAAATTTAAACAATTTCTTTTTTCAAAAAAATATAATTTTAAAAATTTACATCGAAATAAATTTATCTAATATATATAGTGTGAAAGTTTGGTTAGGATATATAAATATTCTATATTACTAATTTGTGATTTTTGTTAATATATTATGGATACATTTAATTATTATTGACATATTTCTTTATAAATAATAGAAGATTCCTAAACTTATATCTATTGACATATTTTGGGTAACTAATTTGGAAGGTGTGATTGACAAAAAAAATTGACAAAAAAAAAATTTGGAAGGTGTGGGATAATTTACCAAAACCAAATTGTTAAGCGTATTTTTGTTATTATAGATATTATTTTTCATAAGATATAATAATGATAAGATTATTAGAGAGTTAATGTAACATAACTTTCTAGTAATAGTTCATTTTTTAAAAAATCACACATGAACTCAAGTCATGACTTCTGTTTTAATATATAAGATTTTGTTGAGAGAGTAGTAAAATAAAGCTCACAAAGGGGGCTATAAAGAACATGCAACCAGAGTTTTCAGCAGGCCAATGTCCATCATCAGCCTGCAACGCTGCCATATAGAGTAAACCTCTTCTTAGTGCTTTCTCTGCGTCTTCATACGCTATTTTCTCTGCATCATCTATTACCACTCGCGGAATATTTTGCTCGAATTTTTTCTCCCTTAGAAACTTTTCAATAAATAGAAATACAAAAATTATATTATGATCTACAGTGTTACATAAATTGATGTTACTGTGAAGGATTTTACCTGCATACGCCACAGGAGATCCGCACTGGCCTTGTAATGTGACCGATTGGCTGAGAAATTCCGTCGAGCCTCCTCTACCTCGGCTACTTCCTCTGGAGAGCCTGCGTCAGCATCAAACTCCCAAATTTGCCTCCCGAGATAATTGTTGGTGCTGAACAAGTGAGGGTCTTGTCCCGCCTCAGCTCCGATCTTCAGCTTCCACATTTTGTATCAATCCTTGTACCTACAAATTAAGAACAAGTTAGTATGTACCAAATCTCTTGCCGTGGTGACTTTGTAAATCGTTTCTCTTGAGTACCAGCTTGTCCTCTATTTAATTAACCATATACTATATATACTGTTCAAATAAGAATACTTAATTGACGAGTTAAGTGATTCATATTCTTACATATACTAGCAAAGTTATGGAAAAGAAATATTGTAAAGGTTAACCAACAAAGTCAAATTTGCGTTCTCAGATCCTCCAGTTTCACGTTTTTAATCTGTTTTTGGTTCTCAATTAAAATCAAAAGTTAGAGAATCCCTTAAACATTATTTGAGATGTGATTTTGACAAGTGTCAATATCACATTCATTCCCACCAAAAAAATGATAGCATTTATCTACTCTATTAAAATATAGTTATTCTTTTTATCTACTGATATAAATTGTCGTTTAAATTTGGATCATTTCTAAAGTGTTATAAATAATACACGCCATATTTTATCGTACAAATATGGAATATTCTAAAAATATATATCATCAAAATATGAAATATGGAAATCTACTAATTATATGAAACCAATAGATTTCACATCTTAACAGTTCCTTAACAAATATGGAATTCTACTAATTATATGAAAACAATAAATTTTGGAAATCATAATATACCATTTAATATTTTAACATTTCCTTAAAAAATATAAACAGTATCATATATGTGAAATAAAAAAACCAAAAAAATATTAAACGGTATCATATATTCAAAAAATATATATGTTCATTTTAATATGTAGAAAATAAATTAAAAAAATACCAACGATATTGAATAAACTTTTCACCTTAATGGTTCAAAAAAATCAATTACTATTTTCAGACCCAAAGATGTTTGATATTTTAACAAAACAAATTGTCCAATATTAAGCACTTATTTCAGTCACTCTGTTTTAATAAATTTTAGTGGTAACTTTGCAATAATTTATTATTTTATTTTTCTTAAATAATTTACTGATTATTTTTTTAAAACAAATTAAATGTAAATCAAAAAACAAAAAAAAAAAACATAACCAATAGCTGAAAGCGCATGTTATATTTTTTCTTTCGTTTATCTACAAAATAAACTATTGTAATTTTTTTTTAAAAATGGTCATCTTTCAATTTTAAATTAGATATTCGATTATTTGAGATTTCTTTGTTGGTAATATCAGTTTAAATTTTGTCATATTTTCATTTGTGTGAATTTTTTTTAAATGGACCTTTCCTAGAAATTCATGTTTTATTTATTCCTTAATAATATTTTATGCTTACTATATCACTCCCATCATTGCAACAATAATATCTACTTTCCTTAATATTCACATGATTTATTATTATCTTCCATTAAATGCTCATCGGTTTAAACGTAGGATATTTCGAGAGTATTCAAAGCTATTAATTTAAGATCACATACATATATATTGTTTCTGTAAACTCCTCATATGGTTTCCTCATCTATATTATTAAAATAAACTCATTACATTTTCATGTATAATTTTTTTTTATAATTGTTATATTAGATATATTTTTTCTACTTGAGTAGCGCGTTGGATCTATGCCCTCAGTCTCCAGTGTTTTAGGAAATGAGCTAAGTTCCCAATGTGAGAGACATGAAGTGAGGAACCTTCGAATTATTAATTATTATGATAAATATAAATGAAGTAGTTCGAAAAAACAAAAAAAAAATATAAATAAAACATTTAAAATAGATAATTTTTTTTACTTTTAAAATAAATCATATCAAGTTGTTTGGAAATAATCAGTTGATAAAATAGTTAAGCAAAGTGAAAAAAAAGATATTCTAAAATTTGTTGAAAATAAAGTTAGTTCTATTTTGTATTTCAGTTTTAATAATATACATATATATATCTATATCAAAAATATTCATATATATATATATATAGTTTTATATTCATATTAAAGTTTCTATCAAATTTTATGAAAATGATTTAACCACAATCTTAATTTCTAACATTTTATGTAAATATTTTCAAGAATTTCGTAATAATAATAAAATATTATTATACATTAATATATATTCATTTAATGTTTATAAAATGAAAGATAAAAATTATTTCATATATTTATTTATTTTATAATCATAATCTATCATATTAAAATAATTATATAGCTGAAATAAATATGATAAATTATGTTAAATTGATATATTTATATTTTTTATTTTCAAAACTATAAATATTACGTTTAAATAATATATTATGTTTGTAAAGCAGGTTGACATAATAAAGTATATAATACATGTCTAAAAATTAACTTATCTTAAACTTTTATATATACAATATCTACTATCTAAAATGAATAAACATAAGAAAATTGTTAAAAGGTATTATAGGATTTGAAGTGATGGTAAGAATTTAGCATAAAATTTTTTTTAAAAAAAATTAAAATATGTTGTTTCATGCATATATTTATTTTTTTAATAATTAAATGCAAATTAAATAAGATGAATATATAATAAGAAGCAACAAATACAATTTGACGGTTTAAAACAATTGATTAATTACGACATGTAATGTATAAAAAATATTGTATTAGAAATAGTTATATTTATGTAGAATTGACACTATAATATATGCCACTAATAATATTAAAAATATCTATAAATATATATTAAAAAAACAAACATCCGTGCGGTTGTGCGGATTAAAATCTAGTGGTTTTTAAAAAAGATGGTGTGGCATCAAATTAATTATGGCATGTAAAATTCTTATAAAATTTTATAATTTTTGGGAAGGACTTTAAATATGGTATTTCTAATAACTTTTATACAATCATTCAGAAATATTTTTATGTATAACAATTTATCTGGTAAAACTTTTGAAATATATTATTAACTAATAAATCATATATCACCATTACAATAATATACATATATATAATATTAATAAACAAATAAACCAAATATGAGTATATTGTAAAACAATTCATATTAACTTTTTATATAATATATATAATATATATATATATATATATTAAATTTAATTGTAAATGTACTTTAAAATACAAAATTAAAGCAATCCTAATCAAATAAAAAATTATTAACTAATAAATCATATATCACCATTACAATAATATACATATATATAATATTAATAAACAAATAAAACAAATATGATTATATTGTAAAACAATTCATATTAACTTTTTATAATATATATATATATATTAAATTTAATTGTAAATGTACTTTAAAATACAAAATTAAAGCAATCCTTAGGGCTGGGCAAAAAAAACCGAACCCGAAAATCCGAACCGAATCCGACCCGATAAAAAGGAACCCGAACCGATCCGAACCCGACATAAGTACCGAATGGATCTTGTTTTACGGTATTTTGGGTTATGGATATTACCCGAACCGAACCCGAACTTAAATGGATATCCGAAAGAACCCGAAACTTTAAAATTCC